CACACGATACATTGCTAAGGGCAAAATAGAAAATTGGTAAAATGAAAATCTCATATGGTTCCAGCTAGAACCTCACATTCTCTATATAAGGTTCTTTTTCACTGACTTTTGAAAAATTAAATAATCACCCCAGAAAATTCAAGGTGCTGCAGAAAAGAGCTACTATTTTATCAACACATTTGGACTTCGGAGTGCTCGGTTGATAACAGTGTGGTGATTTCAAGCAGCAGAAATGCTACATGTTTATTAGAAAGATGGCTTGCGGGTAATTTTAATCTTTTTTGAAGCCCCATTATAGAAAGGACACCCAATCATGTGATCCTTTTATTGATCACATGTAACTCATTAAATCAATAGAAATGTTATATTTAGATGCAGAACAAAACACACACACACACACACACACTCCTTGCCTAACTTATAGCAACCCTAAAGAACAGGGTAGACTACCCCTGTAGGTTTCTAACACTGTAACTCTTTACTGAGTAGAAAGCCTCATTTTTCTCCCATGGAGCAGATAGTGGTTTTGAACTACTGACCTTTCGGGTAGTAGCCCAACGTGTAACTCACGACATCATCAGGACTCCCACAACAACAACAGCCACACAAAAATGACAAAAAGGTAAATGTGTTGTTGTTGCTTTTACTCAAGAGACAAATACATCTTTTTCAAGCACTAGGACAAGTCTCCTTAGGTCTCATCAGGGTTCAGTAAGGAAATGCTTAAAGTGAGGCTTGTCCTCTGCAGCTGTCTAGGTGATTGCAGGTGCAACTTTGAGCGTGCTACTTGGTTCCTCTGAATTCCAATTACCTTGACCAGAAAGCAAAGATTTAAGTCTCCTGTTTGAGGGAGTAAGGAGATAATGGATAAAACACACATGGGAGAAGACTCACATTTAATAAAGAGTGAGAAGTGACAGGTCTTTGTGTCAAGAAGCAGCTGGTGGCTTTGGATTGTCATCTCGGTGATTAGCAATTTAATGCTCACCCAGCCGCGCCACCAGCAATGCCTTTGTAACTGGACCTAAGGCCTTAGTGGCGACAACCACACATTTCAAAGGTTATTTGCACATGTATTACGAATTCCACAGGTACCACTTAACCAGTTGCTAGAGGAGATTTCAACTCATGGTAACCTCATATGTGTTCTGAGTAGAACTGGGCTTCACAGGCTTTTCAAAGGTTTTTGCTTTTTGGTTTTGTTTTATTTTTTCTTCAAAAGTAGATCACTAGGTCTTTATTCTGAAGTGCTTCCAGTGGACATGAATTAACAATCCTTTAGTTATTTATTGGCTGAATGTGTCTCACATGTGTACCACTCGGGGATATTATATAGAAACGCATGTATTCGTAACTTACTGTATACTGCCCTGCTTGAGTGATTTGCCTTAATCACTGAACTTTACGCACCAATATTCAAATTTAGGTCTATCCAACTTCAAAGCTAAGGGAATTAAATACTGTTGCTGGAAAAACCGAACAGATGGGAGACTAGGGCGAGAATCCCTTCTTCATTTAGATAACAAGTGGCCATTGTCCAACTGCATCTGCACAGCACTGAGGTCTGTCCTGCTTCTGCCCGGTTCCCAGGCCAGAGTAGACTGGGTAACCCAAGCACCACGGTACGTTTGGTGGTCAGAAGTTGGTGGTCTGGAGTCTACCTTCACTTCTCAATCTAAGACTTGTCTCTGTAGCCATAGTATCATTAGTGAAAATAGGTTGTGATGCAAAGTCTACGGTGGATCCCCCTGCCTACAATCAGAGCACTTTCTCCAGGGGATGGACAGGTGGGACCTCCATGACTCTGAAAGCTTAGCCCCCCAGCCCTGGATGGTGCCACACCGGCTTCTGTAAATCTCGAGGCACTGCAGCATTGTGCTCCCACACTCTCATTTCCCAAACTGGCTACGCATAACCTGCGGCATGAGGAGAGGCCCATCTTCACCGTGGACTGGTTCTCTGTCTTCTGTTCTGCTTTTTCTCCCTCTTTGTCCACGATCTTCTTCACGGATATTTTGTCCACTGCTGTCCTCAAGGAAAATACTCTTCTAGCTGGGCCAGGCTCCATGTTCTCTTTGCTACTGAGTCTCACCACACACTGGCCCCTCACAGTCTCCAAGTTCATAACACAAACTTCCTGCACTAACTCAGCGATGCCACTGTTCTATTCCTCGAGAGGACACCTGGTCCAGAAAGCTCCACTTTGAACTGATTTCACAGACTTGTTCGCAAAGCCCTGTTACATTGAGTCTATCTGGAAATGCCTTGGATCGTGGACTCGGTCTCCGTCCTGTGTTCTCTCCTTTGAGAACTCAGCCTGAGACATCTAAATTCCTCAAATTACCGCATCCACAAAGGTTAATCTTCTACATTGAGCAAACCAGTAAAATTTCATTACTCTCAATAAATTTAGTATCTAAAACTACAAAGAGCCTTTTTAAAAGGTCATACAAATACCATGAGAGATTTTGTGTGGCACACACACACACACAAAATACCCCAAGAATTCTTTATTATATTCAGTAGAGGAATAACATCCACTATATTGCTGGGCCTTTTAGCAATAGACTATTAACAACTGTAGTTCTATTTCAAGGGACATTTAACCCATGATAATATCTAAACAGTGTTGTTCGAAGACAAATCATAAACTCATTCTATTGAATTTTCTAAATACCATTACCACTCAATTGGGGGGGATGCCCTAAATGGTCACTGCTTAGAAAGTTCAACAAAACACGTGGAAATATGTTAGTAAAGCTTTACCTTAAATTAGACATCAATTTTCTCTTTGTTTCTTGGAAAGGTGTATTTGGAAAAGACTCTGCCGGAGAAGAAGCAACGTTGCGATCGCCATGTGCAGGAACCCCAGCTTTGCATCCAGGCTTTGCCTTTGAATCTTCCGTCATCCCACTGAGCCAAAAAACACAAGCAGAGATTTAAAGTTCCAAAGTGGGAATCACCTTCAATAGAAGCAAATCTACGTATCCCTGAAAAATCTTATTTCAAGATTTCTGGTAACCAAAGTTAAATAGAATTGATGATCATTTATGGTGATCAGTGGGAACCATGTATCGCTCGTCTCTGATTTGCCAAGGCGACTTTCAAACAAAAGCGCCCCATTAGCTTGGGAGACAGAAAGAAGGGTATTCCAGGTGAAGCGTAATCATCAGGGAGCCCGGATCACCGAAGGTTGTTCAAAGGAGGTGGGTGGAGGGAGCAAGGCGATGACGCAGAGTCTGGTGGCCATGGGTAGACAACTGGAGTTTACCTACGCAGACCAAACACTGCCATCAGAAAGTTTCAAGAATCAGGTGGGGTAATCTCATACACACTTTAAGGAGATCAAATTAGCAGCATCTAGGAGATCAAATTAGCAGCAATAACCCAAAAGATTAATAAAAGAACCATAAGGTTCACGGGGGAGGTAAAACTCAGAGAGAGAGGGTGAAAAATCATCGTAACACTCAGAGAATGTCACTTAATTGTGCCTGGAGGAACAATTGAACGGGTAAATGTTCTGCGATGTATATTCTCAATAACAGCAACAAAATAAGTGATTTTTAAAGAACCCTGAACAATTATGAAGGAGCCTCATGACGCTGCCTGGTAAGCATTGGACGACGAAGCACAGGCTTGCTGTTCTCCTGCTCCTGGGGAGAAAGAAGAGGCGGTCTGCTCCTCTAATGATTTCTGAAGCTCGGATGAAGCCTCTAGCGACAAAGCCTACGGAGAGCTGCTGGGAGTTAGAATGGGCTCGATGGCAGTGGGTTTGGGGAAGCACACCTGCTTCCAAAGGTCCACGTGCATCCCAGAGATCCTGTTCCCTACTTTGAAGAAAGGCCTCCCTTAGAGCCACGTGCGGCATAAAGTAAAAACTTTAAAATACCTTGGGCACACACACACACACTGCCTGCAAAAAATAATTCACAGTGTAAAAGCAAAAAAGAGTATCATCTATTAAGGATGCCCAAAGGGCTCAGGATTGGAGACCCTGGGGCTGGGGACAATATGGGGGTGAAGTTGGGTAGATGGGAAGAGGTCAGATTATAAGGGCTTTGTCCAATAATAGGAGGTTTTATAATCCTTTCATGTTAATGTCCATATGTTTATGCAACACAGGCATTTTAAAAATTGGATAATAGTTGATATAAGAGGGCATATACTTTTACTGCCAAGAGCTCTTTGGTACTAATTATATTGTATAGCTTAGGCTGAGATTTAAAAAAAAGATTAAAAGCATTTTATAAACTAATGCTTAATTGTCTATTAAAGAATAATTGCACAACGTCTGAATGCTTGTTAATTTTATCCTCCTTCATGCTAAAATTTTATTGAAGAAGTTAAAAAACCTCTTTTTGCCATTTTAGGAATGCCAGCAATTTATGCTGGAATTAGAAGTGAGGGATAAAATTGAATAACACCAGAGCATCAGAGTCTCTTTTATCAAATAATAATAGTGCCTGCCTCGTAGATCTGTGCTAAGGATGAAAGGAAATATACGGGGAATTTAACTCATTCTGTAGTATTAGAAAGGCGTTGGTTTAAAAACACAAAGTTGTCATCCAGTAGTCTCCACTCACAGAGAGCTCATGCGCATCACAGTGAAAGTATGCTCTGTACGTTTTCAAAGTCTGCATTGTCAGAAGTGTATGTCCAAGTTTTCTCTTGAAGTGCCTCTGGGTAGACTTGAACCTCTAGTCTTTGGTAGAGTGTGCTGCCCATTTGCACCACCGAGGGGATCCGTTCAGCAAATAGTATTTAATTATTGTTACTGTTGATGGTTACTATTACGATCATCTTTATTATATCCATGAGTACTGAACTTAATGACAGCCTTCCATTCATATTGCTCTAGTTCAATTGTACTTTAACATTTGTAATATTTGAAGGATATTTGGTGGAAAAAAATGCATTCTCTTTCAATTCCATTTTCCCATACACTTTTTGAAACCTCTTTTTGTTTACAATTCATCAGTGATTTGGAAAATTAAAAAAAAAAAACGCAAACCTAGAAAACCCTAAAAATGAAGTATAAAATAATCTACACAGGTGTCTTAAATTAAGTGTTGAATGAATTTTAAATTCTGCATCAAGTTTCAATAAATACCTGTAGGTGAAATCACTGACCATGAGAAAGCTTTGGAGAAAAGGTGGGAGAGAGACAGCATAATTCATTCAACCAACGAACATTGTTTAAGGTATCATCAGTCATGTGTCATTCTGGACACTAGCGTTACAGAGGAAAGAAAGACACAATTCCTGCTGTCCAAAAGTGAGTTACCTTCTCGTGAAGAAACAAACAAACAATAAGAGAAAATAAGAAAGTTAGAGTGTAAAATGGCAGGAGAAATAAATGAATAAAGATGCTTGCAGATAGTATTGAGTGCTCTGAAAAAAAATAAAAGGATAATTTGATATTGTGACTTTTTAAAAATGGAATGGATCATTCCAGATGAACTGGTTAGAGTAGACCTCTCTGAGGCTCCATATAAGAAGAAGCTAAGATAAGGTCGCACCTGCCCTACCCTAGTTATTATGCAATTGGAAGACAGAGAATTGTTCAAGTAGGCACCACTGGACCACCACTGTATCATAGGGACTTCACATAGCAGTTACCAAATCAGTACTGAAGCTGAACAAATTGGAACATGAGCTGATCATTTACACGATGCTTTTGTGAGCATGTAAGCATAGACCAATCAGGACTATAAAGAACAGAATACTTGGATCAATGTTTGGAGAGTGAAAGAGTGTTAGAGTGTGCAAGTGCAGAGGGCATTCACCCAAAGGAAGTCTTGTGGGCAAAGGAATGGAAGTATGGGGTAAAATAGAATTATAAGCAATCTGGATTCTCTGGAAAGTAAAATAGGGCTAATAAAAGAAGCAGGGGGAAAACTATCAGGTGGATTTATGCCAGACTGAGGAGTGTGTAACTTACCTTAAAAGTAATGAAAAGTTTTATATTAGATATTTATGAAATCCATTAGACATTTTTATTTTGAGTAGAAGAGTAAAGTGATCAGAGTTGAATGTTAGAGTGAATACTTGGATATCAAATGCAGTAAACAAAAGCTGTTCTCATTTTTCTCAGTTCTCAATCACTGTTCTCCTAAGCAAAGAACACAGAATTTGTATTCCTTAAAACTGGGTCTAAGTTACTACCACTTATTTATCATTTTGTTAAAATGTGGTGACTTGCATGTTGCTATAATACTGGAAGCTATGGCACCAGTATTGTAAATACCAGGAGGGTCACTCATAGTAAACAGGTTTCGATGGAAAAGCCAC